ATAAAAACATGAAGAATCACTAGTAGTACATTGATTATCCCAACCATAATCACAAGAATTGTCCCAATTAGGACCATATTGATCAAGATAAAGATTGCAATGCCTAAATTCATCATAATTATCCACATTTTGTACTTGTCTACATGTATAAGTAGCATGATGACCTCCACACAAAATCAAACCAAATAAAAGAGAAAGGCAAAAATTACCTCCCCCTGATGATTCCTAACCAGCCCACCCCCAGCGGCCACATTTTGCACGTCACTTGTATCTCTATTAAGCTTTAGAGAACCCGGAGATGGTCCACCCCAAGATACGGCAACATGCCGATGCAAAATTGTTGATGAAGGAGCTAAAGATGGCCATATAACGTCTGTATCTCCTTGGAAAAAAGAATTTTTGAATACCTTTGCTGTACCAAGTCGATTTAAGAAACTCTCCACCTCCCAGATGACTTGAGCAGCTAAGTGATTTACCCCTTAAAACCTCGCTGCATTGCATCCTTTCCAAATAAACCAAAGAATTATAATCAGACAAGCAACTCGTATGTGATTCCTGTTAAGCTTGGGCAACGAAAGAAACCAGAGAAACAGCAAAGCCGAAACACAAGAGAATTTTAGTTTTTTTGGACCAAAAACGTTGAAAAAATGGTCCCAAATAGCAATGGCTACAGGGCCATCAAGGAAGACATGAAGTGCCGATTCAGTACTTGATTGACAGCGTACATGTTATGGCCTGGATTCAATGGAGCTATTAAACAGACTACCAGAAAGAGTCAGCAGGGAAGGTAGCAAGAGAAAGGGGGGCACATGGAGGAATCACGTGGCCAAGCATAGTCCTAACAGAATGAAGAAATTGGGCGGGAAAGTTAGTTAACTGCTAGTAATCTGTTACTTGAGTTAGAAGCTAGGATTTGTATAAGAATTTCATCTGCAATTGGAGGAATCATCAGATTGATTGTTACAAAATTCTTCTCTCAATAATATCTCAGACTCCCTCATTGTCTTTTCTCTCTTCTTCCTCTGAGTTCTTCCTCATTTCTCCCCCTTTTCCCCTTCTTCTATCTTCCCTCTATTGATATAGTTCAGTTCCTCGATTTCAATCTTCAACAGTGGTATCAGAGCTTGCGGTCCTTGGATTGCAAGTTCACTCCACAGTCCAGCATGGCAGAAGGTACTCGCAGGAAAAACTTTGAGGAGCAGCTTAGGAAACAAGATGCCAGAATTCAAGCGGTCCTCAACTCCCTGGTAGCAGACAAGCAAGTCATGGAGAAAAAGTTGGAAGTTAATCAAAGGGAGATGCGGTCCTTACTGGAAGCCAATAGCACAGAGCTGAAAAACTTTGTGAGTAAACAGATCAGCTCGATTTTGAGAAGTTTGCAAGGTGACAAGGGAATTTTGGGAAATCCTAATGGCTCTGTAGAAAAGACTCCTAATAATCGAAATGCTGGAATTCCGAATTCTAGACATGGTGAATTTGGCAGTTTCGAATTTGGCAGTTCCCCAGGTTAGATTTTCCTAGATTTGATGGCTACAATTCCAAGGAGTGGGTCAGGAAGTGTGAAAAAATCTTCCAACTATTTCGCACTTCCGAGGATCAACAGATGGACCTTGTGGAACTACACTTAGAAGGAAAGGCAGATCTCTGGTATCAGAATTTCAAAAAACAAAGAGGAATAGTCCAATGGAAGGATTTTGGATCAGCAGTGTGTAGGAGATTCAACACTATGGAAGAGGCTGATGCAGTGGAAGAGTTCAGCAAACTCAATCAAACCTCCTCTGTTTTGGCATATCAGGAGAAGTTTGAGGAATTGAGGTCTATTGTAATGATCCAGATGCCAGAACTGACTGAATCCTACTACATTGCTAGTTTCCTAAGTGGATTAAAGGGGGAAATTAAATTTGCCTTGAAGATGCACAGGCCAGACAGTCTACAATCTGCCTTTGAGATGGCCAGATGGCAGGAACACCACTTGGAGCTGGTCCACAAGTCCAGTAGGCCTATACTCAAGAATGCCTTGCACTCAACCTCATTTGGTCTTAACAGGAGGGGGAATGGAGCTCAGGATTCGGGAGTAAGACAAGTTGGAACATCACCAATAGATCTTAGCAGGAAGTCCAATTCACAGCAAGTTTTCAAGAAAATTTCCCCCACTGAATTCCAGTACAAGAAGGATCACAACTTATGTTTCAGGTGTGGGGAAAGATTTAGTCCAGGACACAATTGTAAAAGCAAGGGGATCCACATAATGATAGTAGGAGAGGAGGAAAAAGGCGTGGAAAATCACACAGCAGAAGAGAAGGAAGTTATTGAATACATGGGGAACCAACAAGAGCATGATGTGATGCTAACCTTGCATGCAATGTCAGGGGAATTATCCTCAAGCATCATCAAAATGCAAGGGGAGTATAAGAACCATCACTTGACAATCCTGTTAGATGAGGGAAGTACTAATTGCTTTATCAAGAGGACCGTGGCTCAGCAATACCCAGAAACTGTACAAAACCACAGGCCCTTCAAGGTCAAGATAGCTGATGGCAAGGGGTTGACATGTGACCAGTGGATTCCAGGGATGCGGTGGAACATGCAGGGCCACAGATTTGCACATGATGTATTTGTATTGGAGCTGGAGCCTTATGATCTGATCCTTGGAGTCGATTGGATGAAGTCCTACAGTCCCATTACTTTTGATTTCAAGAAGTTGAACCTGTCTTTTGAAAAAGGAGAGGAGCAAGTGGTGCTAAAGGAGACTCCAACAATGCAAACGTAAGGATGCAGCAAGGTCCCTCAGCTCACAAGTATGTCAGACATAAGATCAGGAAGGCATTGCAGCAATCCTGCATGGTGAAGATTCACAACTCACAGTAATTTCTGAACCAGATTCTCTTACTGAGTTGTTGGCCAAGTATGATGATGTCTTTGCAGAACCAAACACCCTTCCCCCAAACAAATGCCATGATCAACAAATCCCTCTTAAACCAGGTGCCCAACCTTTCAAAATTTCTCCCTACAGGTACCCCGATATACAAAAAAATGAGATTGACAGGCAAGTGTAAGATATGTTGAACTCTGGCCTTATACAAGTTAGCCATAGCCCCTTTGCATCACCTGCTGTTTTAGTGAAAAAGAAAGATGGGAGCTGGAGGCTTTGTATTGACTATAGGCAACTGAACAACCTCACTGTTAAAGATAAATTTCCAATCCCTATTATAGATGATTTATTGGATGAGTTACATGGAGCCAGAATCTTTTCTAAAATTGATCTAAGATCAGGCTATCACCAAATCAGAATGAAACCTGATGACATCCATAAAACTGCTTTTAGAACTCATTCTGGTCTATATGAGTACCTAGTAATGCCATTTGGTCTAACAAACGCCCTAGCTACCTTTCAAGCCCTCATGAACTCGGTCTTTGAGCCTTATATCATAAAATTTGTCCTTGTGTTTTTTGATGACATTTTAATCTATAGTCCAGACTACAAGACTCACCTTCACCACTTATCCATAGCTTTGAACACCCAGAGAAAACACTCACTGTATGCAAAGATGTCAAAATGCTCTTTTGGTCAAAACCAAGTAGAGTATCTGGGACATATAATTACTAGTGAAGGGGTGAAAACTGATCCATCCAAGATGGAAGCAATGCTGTCCTGGCCAACTCCCACCTGTGTAAAGGCTCTTAGAGGATTCTTGGGCTTGACAGGTTACTCTAGGAGGTTTGTTAAGGGGTATGGGGAGATTGCTAAGCCTCTTACTGAATTGCTAAAAAAGGATCAAATTGCATGGAGTACTGCTGCAGAATCTGCATTTCAACAATTGAAGCTGGCAATAAGTGCAGCACCAGTGTTGGCATTACCTGACTTCTCAAAGCCATTCCTGTTGGAAACTGATGCCAGTCAGATAGCCATTGGTGTTGTTCTAATGCAACAAGGGAGGCCAATAGCCTACTACAGTCAAGTACTGGGACAGAATAATCAAGCCAGATTTACCTATGAGAAGGAACTCCTATCACTCATCACTGCATTTCACAAATGGAAACATTACTTGATGGGACACCATTTCATTATAAAGACTGATCATGTGAGCCTCAAATACTTGTTGGATCAGAAAATTAACACTTCTCTTCAACAAAAATGGCTGGTTAAACTTATGGGGATGGACTATGAGATTCAATACAAAAGGGGGAAGGATAATGTGGTTGCTGATGCCTTATCAAGGATGGGTGAATTGGAGAATACAGCAGAAATGCCTGTGCATACTATCACTACCATCAAGCCCCAGTGGTTGACAATGGTAGCTGAGAGCTACAATGGTGATGAGATGGCCAATGAAGTTCTGCTGAAGTTGGCTATGGGAGCTGATGATTACTCTTATAACCAAGGGATTCTAAGATTCAAGGGAAGGGTGTGGGTAGGAGCCGATTCTGGATTAAGGCAAAGGCTGATCTCTTGTTTTCATGATTCTTGTCTTGGGGGACACTCTGGGAATCATGGTACTTATCAGAGGATTAGGAGTTATCTATACTGGCCTAGAATGAAGAAGGAAATAGAGCAATATGTACGGAGCTGTGAGGTCTGCAGGAGGAGTAAAAATGAAAATTGCCCCTATCCAGGTTTGCTGCAGCCACTGGTCATACCTGACCAAGCGTGGCAACAAATTTCTATGGATTTCATTGAGGGGTTACCCAAGTCCTTTGGTTGTAATGTGATCTATGTGGTGGTGGACAGATTTACTAAGTATGCCCATTTTATTCCAATGACCTCTCACTACACCGCTAAAAGTGTAACAGAGGCATTCTTTGATCAAATTTTTAGGTTGCATGGCCTACCAACACACATTGTCTATGATAGAGACAAGGCCTTTACTAGTGTGTTCTGGCAAGAACTCTTCAAAATGCTAGGCACAGAACTAAATCTTTCATCTGCATATCACCCTCAGTCTGATGGGTAGACTGAGAGGGTGAATAGGTGTGTGGAAAACTACCTGAGAAGTATATGTATGTATCAACTAGGGAAATGGAGAAAATGGCTCCCTGCAGCAGAGTGGTGGTACAACACTAACCATCATAATAGTTTGCAAATGTCTCCCTTTCAGGCCTTGTATGGTTACAAGCCTATTCAGATGAACCTGAGGCCTGATAGCACATTAGTAGCTGTTGTGGAGGATTGGGCACAAGAACGAGTGGGCTGGAACTCCTTGCTCAAGGAGAACCTGTTGAAGGCTCAGAATAGGATGAAACAAATGGCAGATAAAGGGAGGAGTGACAGGAATTTGAAGTAGGAGAATGGGCTTACTTGAAGCTTCAGCCTTACAGACAAACTTTTGTAGCTGTAAGAAGGAATATAAAACTGGCAGCTAAGTACTATGGACCTTATCAGGTAGAGCACAAGATGGGGACTGTAGCTTATAGGTTGAAGTTACCTGCAGGATCAGCCATACATCTTGTTTTCCATGTCTCCCTGCTCAAAAAGTCACCTAAGGGGGCTCAAATCAACACTACCTTGCCTGCCCTGAATGATGATGGTGAGTTTGGTGTTGTTCCCTCAGCAGTTTTGGACCAGGGGACAATTTTTAGGATGGGACAAGAGGTCGACCAGGTGCTGGTGCAGTGGGAAAACATAGAACCCGAGGAGGCTACCTGGGAAGATTGGTCGTTCATTCATGCTCAATTTCCTACTTTCCAAATTAATCAATCCTAGAGACTAGGATTGTTTTTAAGGGGGAGGCATTGTTATGGCCTGGATTCAATGGAGCTATTAAATAGACTACCAGAAAGAGTCAGCAGGGAAGGTAGCAAGAGAAATGGGGGGCACATGGAGGAATCACGTGGCCAAGCATGGTCCTAACAGAATGAAGAAATTGGGCGGGAAAGTTAGTTAACTGCTAGTAATCTGTTACTTGAGTTAGAAGCTAGGATTTGTATAAGAATTACATCTGCAATTGGAGGAATCATCAGATTGATTGTTACAAAATTCTTCTCTCAATAATATCTCAAACTCCCTCATTGTCTTTTCTCTCATCTTCCTCTGAGTTCTTCCTCGTTTCTCCCCGTTTTTCCCCTTCTTCTATCTTCCCTCTACTGATATAGTTCAGTTCCTCGATTTCAATCTTCAACACTACATACCTGGATACTAACATGAATCGCTTCTGTTGTAAATTCTCCTTCGAAGGCAAAAGATTATGAAGCAACCTCCACACAAAGAAAGACAATTTAATAGGGACAATGGCGTTCCAAATCAACCTGGAGACCAAAGAGATATTTTTCCTTTTCCTGACAGTCTCCCAAGCCGTGGAAATGAAAAAAAGCTCATTAGCAGAAGGAGACCATACCATGGAGTCCTTCTTATACGGATCAAACTGTACCTGCAAAACTTGCAACACTATAGGTTCCAGTAACCAAAGCCTAAGTTTTGCCTCATTCCATTTGTCCCCAGTAAAGAATTCTGCCACAAGGAATTGAGGAGAGTCCTGCCGACAATAAAGTTGACACAAAGGATCATCCTGTAACCATCTGTCAACCCAGAAATCTACTAAACCCTCTCCAAAACACCATCGTGTATATATATATATATATATATATATATATATATATATATGCAAAGTGTATATATATCATGCATACAATACCTCGATTACCAGCATTCCATTGTTGCCATCCTTTCTGCCTTGTGGCTTCTACATTCTAAGTTGATGTACCAAAATGAAAAATGGAAAAGAAGAAGAAGAAGAAAATTAATCATACAAAACTTTTTCTTGTAGACAATGAACTTTCATTTATGCATTATTCTTGTCAAGGCACAGTTTTTTTTTAACTATTAATCCTCGAGGCACAGATTTTGTAGGTGACATAATGGTGAGCTTTTGCATCCGCCGATTGTACATGGAAAATGATGTAACTAGCAATCTGCTAAAGAATTGGATGCTAAAAAACAAGTCTGATGAAAAAAAAAGAAAGTCATAAGGACAACCAATATTCTTGATGACAAACAAAAAATAAACAGTAATTGAAATATAAAAATTAACCATGAAAATCTTGCACTCCCTATGTGCCATAGTTTGAGAATTTTTGTTTTTTGGAATTCAAACTTTTTAAGAAAAAAAATGTAATTATTAAGTTTGAATGTGATGATTTTGGATGAACCTTAAACATGGTCCTCACATTTAAATTCTATGAGTCTAGTGGCACGCAAAAAGTAATTTTTTTCAAATGGTAAAATGGAAGCTTGAGAAGTTGTGTTGCTTTTGAAAAGATGATTCTTTGTTTGGATTATCCAAAAGGTGAAAACATGACACTAGAAAAGGATGGAGGGAGGATAAAAGGAATAGTTGCTCAGTTATTTTACTATTTTACTACTATTTTATTTACCTTTTTATTGTATATTTTTCAAAAAGCTTCCTTTTGTTTAGTTAAATAGAAAACCAAAGACCATGTACTTTATTTGTTTTCCATTGTTTGATATCAATAGGGCAACAAGTAATTTTAAAACTAGTGGAACACATTATAAAAATTCATAATTTTTCAAAGAGTGAGTTTGTAGGACTTTTGGGGGGGGGGGTGGGGGCACGGGCCCCCACTTTAAATCCACCACACAACTATTAAAGTCTCCCAAGCGTAAAATTTTTTATATTGGAAATTGTGAAAATGTAAAAGAATAATAAATACGGCCGGCCACTTGCTAAAGAAATACAAATTAAAATTAATCAAAGCCATAAATAGGTATAATTATTCTATAATTAGAAGGTTATATTAACTTTGTTATAGGGGCTGTTCTCATTTTCTTTTACATCTAGATTTTAGATTTTTTTAAAAAAACAAAAAGGTCAAAATCGTGAATATACCTATGAGTTAACTTTAATTGATTCTGACTTTTTCTCTATAATGACATTCAATGATTAACTTTTGCAAAATTTAATGCAAACAAGTATAGGCTAAAAGAAGCATGAATACCAAAACAGTAAAAGCGGTCAGGAAAAATTTCTATATTGGGAATAAAAGATGAAACATCTTAAATGACCCCATAAAGTTTTGATCCTAAAATTACTCACTAAAAATATGCTAATCACAAGTGAATTTCAGCTCATAACAATAGGTAGCTTTGAAGATGTCCGATTGGTTTTGTTAGAAAAAATTCATATTGATGTTCAATGGATACCTAGATAAGCAAATAAGGTTGCACATAATTTAGCAAACTACGCTAAATTTACCAATCCAACTAAATCTCTTTGGAATTCCTCCCGACTTTGTCAAATAAATTAAATTGTATTGTATGATTTCCAGCTAACTTATTAATAACTTGTTTGGATAGGAATATTTGCAAAAAAAATTTCAAATTTTTTTCTACTTACATCATGAACACAATTTCCAACCACCTTTTTTATTTAACATATATTATATCAAAAAAAGTGTTACAGTAATTATTTCAAATAAATATATCAAAGAACCTCCTATTCAAACAAACTCATTGGTTTCACGTTTTCTATATACAAATACATATACACACACATATATATATATATATATATATATATATATATATGAATTCAGCCTGGCCATAACAATTTCAATAATTTCATAAAGTCCCACATCTTGACGTAATATATATGTGGGGAAGATTGAGCAGTAGTATCCATTGTTTTCATTATATATATACGTGGGACTTTATGAAATTATTGAAATTGTTATGGCCAGGCTGAATTCCTAATTTGAACCTAAGCTGATATCATATCCTATCCAATGAAGGAAAGAAAAATCCTGAAAATGACAATAGGTGACTTATGAATTAATGAAAATAACGCTTATGAAATTAATTAATCTCCGCCAAAATTAATGATGTGAAATCTAAACTAATTTTTGTAAAGAATTTAATCCTGTGTCTGTGTAATGAGAAAACAACAATTGCTGACTTTCATATGTTGTACGGATATTCTGGAGTAGTACTTGTTGCTTCAGTGGCCACAACGGATCCCTCAACTCAATGTTATTAACAAAATCCCAACGAGTCCTTTTGACTGAACAAGAAAAGAAATTAAATCCCACTACAAAGCCGTACCTACCTCTGTAAAGCTGATCTACGTTGAATGGCCCAACTTGGGATGGACAAGCTGCCAATGACAATGACCAAGTCACCAACAAATGAAAGAGACGCCATCAATTAATGCCAGACTTGATTGTTTCTCCAGTTAATTTCACGGACAAATAAATCTTGTCATTTCTTTGAATACTCAAGTAGAAATTTTGTAAGATTACACATACTTTAGCAAACTACCCCAAATCTACCAATCTAACTGAATCTTTTTGGAATTCTCCCCTGACTTTGTCAAATAAATTGTGCTGTATGATTTCCGTTTTGCACATTTTCTTTATATATATATATATACACACACGCGCGCCATCTTCCCCACATTTATATTCCGTGTAGATATGGGTCTTTATGAAATTAGTGAAATTGTTATGGCCAGGCTGAAATTTCAACCTAAGCTGATATCATATCCTATCCAATGAAGGAAAAAAAAAAGTCCTGAAATGACAATAGCTGACTTATGAATTAATGAAAAGAACACTTAAGAAATTAATTAATCTCCAACAAAATTAATGACGTGGAATCTAAATTAATTTTTGTAAAGAATTCAATCCCGTGTTTGTGTAATGAGAAAGCAACAATAGCTGACTTATTCATATGTTGTACGGATATTCTTGAGTAGTACTTGTTGCTTGGGTGGCCAAATGTCAATGTTATTAGCGAAATCCCAAAGTGTCTTTTGACTGAACAAATAAATCTTGTCATTTCTTTGAATATTCAAGTAGAAAGTTTGTAAGTATGTGTCTTGGCATGTCGAAGAGATGGTTGCTGTTGGTTACTTTCATCCGTTAAAGGTCATATAGCTGCTCAAGTGTCTTTGAGTGGCAAATTGGGATTTAATGTCTCTATATAGACTCAAGGCTCCAAAATTGGTTCAGCCCAATGTTGTCCTTCGGTTCGATAAATTTATGAGAATTAAGAGTCAACCACTTTATTTTCAAGATTGGGTGTAGGTTCGAAAACTCTCTCATGTTACAGCCTTAATATTTCATAATTGTGCCATCAAACAGAGCAATTGATTATTGAAATTTTCATTTGGCACTCGTTAAAACATTCAAATCATACCTAAGTTATTAAGTAAATGCATACATCATATTTATTATACCTCTGAATTGGGATACTTTCCGATTGTCAGGAAAAGACCCTTTAAAAGTCTCCTATGCACTAGGTCAGGAGCTCAAACCCCGTTTAGTATATCACACAAGAAGTATAGTACTTCTTGTTTTCAAAAAATTCAGAAAGTGCAACAGTGTACTTGTCTAGTTTGGTTCTTCATGCTCCCAACTCCCACACAAATCTCTTTAAACTCCTCATAATAGAGTAGGAGTAGGAGTAGGTTAGATATTTTTGCAGATAAAAAAAAAAGAAAAAAATTGTGATGCTTTTCCAAATTAACTATACTTTTCCAATAAACTAGCACCTGAGCCCGCTTTTATCAATTGCCAATGGGTATCCATTATCCAAACTATTTTTTATTTACTTTACACAAACGAATGTTTGTTTCTGTACTCAACTGACATTCTTCAAGACATAAAATATTTTAGGTGAGATAACTTGGTTTCTTTCATGCATGAATCGAAGAAGAAAATGATTTATCAACATCCTCACTACAATTTGAG